ACCCTCAAGAGACTTCTTTAAATGTTACATGCATTATTTCTAGTATCAAAACTTGGATCTTCTGGTCTATTTTCCTTATAGACCTCATTGAAACTAGGGAACATTTCTTTACGATCAAGAGAACCATAACCATCTGCTGGCTAAAGCTTTTGCCACTACCATGTATAATGGAAGGGAGGAATTTCCCTTAATGAATGAACCTGCCATGTCAGTTATCTGAGAACCTTATGTCATAGGTAATGCTTTTTACTTAGAAGCACAAGTATCTTTATTCTTACATAGATGAAAGAGAAGTGTAACTTAGGCAGAATAAGTGTGTGTGTGTGTGTGAGAGAGAGAGAGAGAGAGAGAGAGAGAGAGAAAGAGTTTTAAAAACATTATTCTAAAGGGAGACATTACCAGCCCTTAAACACACGTACGTACGTACATACACTACGTTGAAATCATTCCCAAGTGACCTGGAATCAATCTAAGAGTTAAGACATCGCCGGGCGCGGTGGCTCAAGCCTGTAATCCCAGCACTTTGGGAGGCCGAGACGGGCGGATCACGAGGTCAGGAGATCGAGACCATCCTGGCTAACATGGTGAAACCCCATCTCTACTAAAAAATACAAAAAAAAAAAAAAACTAGCCGGGCGAGGTGGCAGGCGCCTGTAGTCCCAGCTACTCGGGAGGCTGAGGCAGGAGAATGGCGGGAACCTGGGAGGCGGAGCTTGCAGTGAGCTGAGATCCGGCCACAGCACTCCAGCCTGGGCGACAGAGCGAGACTCCGTCTCAAAAAAAAAAAAAAAAAAAGAGTTAAGACATAAACACTTTTGAAGGGGAAGTAGGCAACAATTTATTTTTCCTAGCTCGTGATATATGCTACAGGTAAATAATGTAGAATAGAAAAAGTATGTTTGAGACCAAAGTTTATTCAGTTTGGCTGTGGTTTGTGTCAGCAATTCTAAAAGAGGTAGTATATAGTCATTATCATAGTAAGTAAAAGTACATTTTTCTTGACCTAAATGAAAATACATCCTCATGGAAAATCTGAAAAGTATAGAAAGTTTGGTAGCAGAAATAATACAACCCATTATTTTGATGTATTTTGTTTCAGATGTCCACATGTGGATTTTTATTTTCCAAAATTAGGACCACACTTTATGGTTAATTATTCAGTGCTTTTCTGCAACATATACCATGAACGTTTTCCTAGTCTTCAGATATTCACTAAAGCGTGACTTTAGAGTCTGCAAAATATTGCATCCTATGAACATACAAAGCATATTTCTCACATAAATATTTAACAACATTTTCAAATTATTACCTTAGACTCTTTCGTGTACATGAAATGACTAGCTTGTATAGTATGGGCTTTTTAAAACCTATTTCCAATTTATTTTCCTAGAAGAATGAAATGTTTATTTTCAAAAGAGAACATTATGAATGGGCTAAAATTTTTCATTTGAGAAGAAAAGCCTAGGTTAATTTTAAAAATGTTAAAACAACTCTGTGCTACCATAGAAGTTTTTTTAGCTTTGATCAAAGTGAATTCAAACTTGGACAAAAGAAACATTAAAGCCATATCTCCAAGCATCTGCTGTTCTGGGTAGACATGAATTAAACTCACTAGAAGTCTCAGCCAGATTTATTCCTGAATGGTTCAGACAGGTGCAAACACCAAACTATAGGCTCACTTTTGTTTAATGCATCTTCCAACAGGCAGTCATTTGTTCATGTCACTCAAATAAAATTTTTAGCATTTGCTGAACATATGCATATTCAAGCAAACATTTAAATATTCCCCTACCTCTATAAGAAAGAAAGAAAAACCTGGGCAAATTTTAAATGAGCCATATTTAGTTGATTAATTTTTAGCCCAATTATAATGCAATGAGAAAAATTGATTTACTAAATTTTGTTTCTGTAGAAAAGTAATAGTTGTTTAGCACTTCCTTATTCAAAGAACAAATTTAGTATTTCTTGAAATACTTTTCTTCATTGTAGTCAAATCACATCCACATATCTAAAGAAAAAGTTGACTGGTTTTCTTAAGTAAGTGTATATTAATGGAAACAAGCATTTTAGTCTGCATACTTTAATCATACTCTAAGCTGTAAATGTCCAGTGAGTTTGGAGCTCTAAGCAAAAGGACCTCCTTTTGAAATGCCTATTTTAAAACATCAGATCGTATGAAATCCTTTAACCTCATGCAGTTATATTTATTATGAAATATTTCAAACATACTGTAAAGGTGTAACAAATACTTTAGAATAATCTGTTTTTTTGAGGTAGGAGTTAGAAAATGTTGCATAGGTAACTCATTTATGCATCTTAGAACTACTTGAAACTCTGTATCTTCAAATAGAAAGTAGAGTGGGGAAGAGGGAGGGGGAGAGCATTAGGAAAAATGGCTAATGCATACTGGACTTAATACCTAGATGATGGGTTGATAGGTGTAGCAAACCACCGTGGCACATGTTCACCTATGTAACAAACCTGCACATCCTGCATATGTACCCTGGAACTTAAAAAAAAAAAAAAAAGGAAAAAGAAAAGATTTTGTGAGGTGGAAAAAAAAAGTAAAGTGATACATACACCAAATTTTGAATTCTTAATTTTAAAGTAACTTTTGTTCTTCGTGATTTGATTTTGGAAAACACATAACAACTCCCTTTCTGCCTTCTAGTGTGTTAAAACATGAGCTGCTCAGTGTGTACTATTGATCTGTACACACCGAGATTATAAATCAAAATTAATTTTTAAATTGTCACAACTTCTTCATAGTGCTCATTGCATATAATTCTGCTAGAATAGTGATTCTCAAACTTTTAACAAGTAGGAAATCTAGGAATGATAGTCTTAAATTTCCTTTGCCCCTCAAGACAAAAATTCATATTAAAAATCCTACAAGAGTCTGGTATGTGACTGGGCACAGTTGCTCACATCTGTAATCCCAGCACTTTGGGAGGCTGAAATGGGCAGATTGCTTGAGCCCAGGAGTTCAAGACCAACGTGAGCAACATGTCAAAATCCTGTCTCTACAAAAAAAAAAAAAAAAAAAAAATTTCCAGGAATAGCTGTGCATGCCTGTAGTCCCAGCTAAGGAGGCTGAAGTGGGAGGATCGATTGAGCTTGGGAGGTCAAGGCTGCAGTGAGCCATGAACATGCCACTGCACTCCAGCTGACAGAATGAAACTCTGTCTCAAAATAATAATAATAATAATATTCAATGTAAGAAGCTTAAGGTTACCACTTCATGCTAGTAACAAATTAAAAACTGAACAACCTGAGAAAACAACAACTTTTCTTATATCTAGCAGAGAAATGAAGTCACTGGGCAAATCTCTGCCCCCATAATTGAAGATAGGCAGATCCAGAGAATCACAACTTAACTGATGCAGAAACCTCCTCAGGAACCAGTGTGAGGGTAGTAGGAAAACCTGACCTGTAGTTGACAAATTACTGGAGACTCAGAGTGGACAAGTGTCAGAGTTAAAAACTCCATGGTCCCTCATAATTTTGTGGGTTTTACCTGCAGGAGCTCTACCACGTTCTCACAGTGAATATTGGAGAATATCTTCTCATGCTTCCAGCAGAACAGAGGGGGATGGAAAGTAACCATTAAATATGCCAGAGCGTTCTGTTTTTCTTAGCAAGGCCTGCAGTCAAGAGAAACTTTTTTACCAAAGCCCAGTCTACCTGAGGGAAGGGAAATACCCAACTCCAGCTCCTCCAGCCATCTGATCACACTGGAGGAGGACTAAGGCATACTGCTGAGGTTTACCACCCAAGGTCAGGCTAAGCAAAAGACTGTGAGTTAATCTTATGCCTACAGAACACTTTGCCTCCCCCAGCACCTTATCACTACATTACTAAAGGTCTATTTACTGCAGTTCCCTTTACCCAGTAACTATGTACTACTTCCAACAAAAAATTACGAGGCATACTAAAAGGCAAAAAAAACAGTTTGAAGAAACTGAACAAGTATCCAAACCATATTTCTAGCAAGGAATATTGGAATTATCAGACCAGGAATGTTTTTAAACTATGATTAATATGCTAAGGGCTTTAATGGGAAAAGCAGACAACATGCCAGAACAGATATAAGCAGAGAAATGGAAATTGTAAAAATAAAATAAAATGCTAGAGACTAAAAACATTGTAACAGAAGTGCAGTGTGTGGTGACTCTCGGCTGTAATCCCAACACTTTGGGAGGCCAAGGCAGATGGATCACCTGAGGTCAGGAGTTCAAGACCAGCCTGATCAACATGGCAAAATCCTGTCTCTATTAAAAATACAAAAATTAGCCAGGTGTGGTGGCGCATGCCTGTAATCCCAGCTACTCGGGAGGCTGAAGCAGGAGAATCGCTTGAACCCAGGAGGCAGAGGTTGCAGTGAGCCGAGATCGTGCCATTGCACTCCAGCCTGGGCAACAGAGGGAAACTCTGTGTCCAAAAAAAAAGGGTAAAAGAAATGAAGGATTCCTTTTATGGGCTTATCAGTGGACTATGAACAGCTTAGGAAAGAATCTCTGAGCTTGGGGATATGACAGTAGAAACTTCCAAAACTGAAAATCAGAGAGAAAAAAAGACTGAAAAAAACCCCCACAGTATCCAAGAACTGTAAGGCAACCACGAAAGGTGTAACAGGTGTAATGGGAGTACCAGAGTACAAAGGAACAGGAGCAATATCTGAAGAAATGAAGACTAAGAATTAGCGCCAAATTAATATCATACACCAAACCACAGATCTCAGAAGTTTAGAGAACACCAAGCAGAATAAATGCAAAACAAACAAAAAACAACTAAGCCTAGGCATGTCATATTTAAACTGTAGAAAATCAAAATTAAAGAAGAAATCTTGAAAGAAGCTGGGGGGGGGGGGCGGTGGAAAAACCTGTAGAAGAGCAAAGAAAATAATTATGTCTGACTTCTCTTCAGAAACCATGCAAGCAAGAGGAGAATGGCATGAAATATATAAAGTGTTGAGAGGGGGAAAAAAAAAAACTCACTAACCTAGAATTCTGTACCCTGCAAAATTATCCTTTAAAAGTCAAGAAGAAATAGACTTTCTCAGACAAACAAAAATTTGGTGAATTTGTTGACAGTAGACCTACCTTGCAAGAAATGTTAAAAGAAGTTCTTCAGAGAGAAGGAAAATCATACGAGTCAGAAACTCTGATGTACATAAAGAAAGCAAGAGCATCAGAGAATAAGTTAAGGTAAAATGAACACGTTTATTTTTCTTATTCCTAATGGATCTAATAGAGAACAGTTTGTTCAAATAATAATAGGCACACACACATTTAATGGATGGAATGCCAATCTACGTCTTATAGTCTTCTTCCCTTTCCCCCAACTGTATCTCCCTTCCGGCCTTAAGTCTGCTCAGTAATTTCCAGCAGCAAAATGTTCTTTTCTCCTTTGTGTTGCTAGTTTAAAGCAGTAGTTGAAAATGACTGTATATGACAGGGGAAGAACTAATTTGCAGTCACTCCACTCTTCCCCTCACTTCCCTTTTGGATGATAGATTATTGCCCGCAGGTGCTATTTTGCTGCAGGGAATCTGAGAAATGAAGGAATCAACAGAAAGGATAATGTGAGGACACATGGAGATGGTCACCATCTGCAGGTCAAGGAGAGAAGAGGCCTCAAGAGAAACCAACTCTGCTGACACTTTGATCTCAGACTTCCAGCCTCCAGAACTGTGAGACAATAAATGTTGTTTAAAAAAAAATAAAGGGAAAGAAACAAAGGGAAAAACAAGAAAATTAGCTAGAGAAGCTAATTTGATAGAAAAAAGATGTAAGTCTATTCGCCCTTATAATATAAGAGTTTGGGAAGCATGTAAAAGCAGGAAAGCTACTTAAAAAAAAAAAAAGGGCAATGCGAGGTCTGAGAGACAGAGATGGAAAATGGAAGTCTCAGATACTGAAGCAAACTGTAGGACCAAGTACACATACAGCTACTCCCCCCAGTTCATATCTATGGAAGTAGCTTTACTTTTATTCATTTCCTAACATTCATTAATTTATTTTATTCTAAATATATTATTTCAGACATTTTATAAAAACTGACACCATGAAAGACAGAAGCTATGCTAACCAAACAGAAGAACCAACACTTAAGGAATCAAAGTTAATGAAAAAAAGAAGATTATAGAAAACAGTGTAATTAAAATCTTGAGGAGACTTTTCATTTCTACTGTGACCAACAGAGCTCCAACTGGACCAGCTGTCTTGCAGTTAACTTTATAAGCCCAGGATGAAATACAAAAACAACTTACTGGAGAAGACACTAGAGAATGACCAAAAAGCAGATACTTGCTGGAGAGGTCTCAACAGTTGAACAAAAGGAAAGTTACAAGTCTAGCCTAAAGGCAGGCCCCGTCTCTTACATGTAGAGTGACTAGAACTGTTTGAAGACCTTTAAAGTCTTTTTGACCTAACAACCAAAGACAGAGTTCAGTATAACCACAGTCACTGGAAAGGGAGGGAGAGGAGTCCCCAAAAGGAGAAAGCCAGAGAAGATTAAGCACCAAATACTGTGAATAAATTCTGTACAAATTTCTGTCTAAGGCTTAACCACATACGCATAAGACAGACTCAGAGCAGTTCAGCTAATAAGGATAAATGAACTAAATGGAGATTTGAGCTACCACACGAGAGACAGAATTTGACCTTTAAGGACAACCAGATTAATTACCTACTTTAAAAAAAACAACACTCTGGGCCGGGCGCGGTGGCTCAAGCCTGTAATCCCAGCACTTTGGGAGGCCGAGACGGGCGGATCACGAGGTCAGGAGATTGAGACCAACCTGGCTAACACGGTGAAACCCTGTCTCTACTAAAAAATACAAAAAATTAGCCGGGCGTGGTGGCGGCGCCTGTAGTCCCAGTCACTTAGGAGGCTGAGGCAGGAGAATGGCATAAACCCGGGAGGCAGAGGTTGCAGAGAGCTGAGATCCGGCCATTGCACTCCAGCCCGGGCGACAGAGCAAGACTCCGTCTCAAAAAAAAAAAAAAAAAAAAAAAAAAAAAAAAACCACTCTGGAGGAATATATCAAAATCCAGACCCTATACAACATAATATCCACAATGTATGGGTACAACCCAAAATTACTTAACAGGAAAATGTCACCCATTCTCCAGATTAAAAAATAAGACACTTATCCTAAAAAGACCCATATGTTAGAATTAAAAGACAAGAATTTTAAAGCAGTTGTTATAATTTTGCCCAGTGAAGTAAAGGAAAATATGCTTGCAAGGAATGAAAGGATATCGAATCTCCATAGAGAAAGAGAAAGTGTGTGTGTGTGTGTGTGTGTTTATGTATACTTTTTTAGGTATATACCCCCCCACCCATAGAAAGTCTAACAGGAATGTCCAGTCTTTTGGCTTCTCTGGACCACATTGGAAGAACTGTCTTGGGCCACACAGAAAATACACTTAATACTAATGATAGCTAATGAGCTGAAAAACAAAATCTCATAAAGTTTTAAGAAAGTTTATGAATTTGGCTTGGGCCGTATTCAAAGCTGTCCTGGGCAGCATGTGACCCACAGGCCACAGATTAGACAAGCTTGGTCTAGAATAATACAATATTTGAAAGAGAAAATTCACTGGATAGGCTTAACAGCAAAATGGAGATGACAGGTGAGTCATTAAAATTGAAGACAGATAAATGAAAGTTAATCTGAAAACCAGAAAAAAATTGGGGGAAAACTCTTTAGAAATCTATATGAAAATATTGAAATGTCTAATGTTTGTGTAATTGGAGAAGAGGGAGAGAAATGGCATAAAATTAGTTGAAAAATAATAATGGAAATTACCCAGTATGGTAAAAGATAAAACTCTGAAGAATTAAGAAGGTGTAAGTAAACCTAAGCTGAATAAATATGAAGAAAACCATGCTTAAGTTCATCATAGTCAAACCTCTGAAAGCAAATGATAAAAAGAACAATCTTGAAAACAGTCAGATAATATGATACATTGACTGGATACAAGACGAAAACATTTGAATTACCTTTGACTTATCACCAAAAGCAAGAGGCCAGTAGATAAAGCAATAACATCTGCAGAAAGAAAAACAAACAAACAAAAAAAACTGTCAACCTGGGTTTATCTCGTGAAAATTTCCTTTAAGAATTATGAATGAAATAAAATATTTTCAGGTAAAAGAAAACAGAGAATTTATTGCAATCATATCTACAGAACAAGAAATGTTAAAGTTGTTCTTCAGTGAAGGGAAATTAGATAGCAATTTGGACATTAAAGAAGGAAAGAACAACCTTGAAAATGTTAAATATGTGAATATATATGAAATATCTTGCCCGGTGTGGTGGCTCACACCTGTAATCCCAGCTCTTTGGGAGGCCAAGATGGATGAATTGCTTGAGCCCAGGAGTTCAAGACCAGCCTAAGCAACATAGTGGTACCCATCTCTACAAAAAATACAAAAATTAGCCAGGCACAGTCATGTACATCTGTAGTTTCAGCTACTCAGGAGGCTGAGGTGGGAGGATCACTTGAGCCTGGGTGTTTAAGGTTGCAGTGAGTCGAGATCATGCCACTGCTCTCCATCCTGGGCGACAGAGCAAGACTCTGCCTCAAAAAAAAGAAAAAAAGAAAAAAGAAAAGATCTTGCTGTAGCTCAGATGTTTGACCCTCAAAATGTCATGTTGGAATCTGATCCCTAATGTTGGTAGTGGGAGCAAATGAGAGGTGTTTGGGACATGGGAGGGTGGATCCTTCATTAATAGATTAATACCTTCCCTGGGGGCTAGGGTGAGGTAATAAGTGAGTTCTCACTTTATTGCTTCCCCAGAGAGCTGGTTGTTAAAAAGAGCCTTTTACCTCTCCAACCCTCTCTTGCTTCCACTCTTATCATGTGATCTCTGCACATACTGGCTCCCCTTCACCTTCCTCCATAAGTGGAAGCATCCTGAAGCTCTCATCAGAAGATGATGCTGGCTCCATGCTTCTTCTCAGTCTTCAGAACCAGGACCCAAATAAACCTCTTTTCTTTGTAAATTACGCAGCCTCAGGTGTTCCTCTATAACAACACAAAAATTAACTAAGACATATCTTCAGAGTTGGGAGACGATATTATCTTTAGAGATGTCAGAGGGTAGTGCAGCCATTTAACGAAGAACCAGAGATACAGAAAATTAAATTTGTTTAGAAAATGAGTTAAGCAGAATGTTCACAAGCAACGAGTAAATTAATAAGCTTGGAAATTGAGCCAAGGTATTTCTTCCAACATTCAACACAGAATCACAGAAGATGAGAAAAATATGCTTTAAGAAAAGTTTGACAAGGAAGGCAAACAGATAGAAACAAGGTAATAGTAAATACCCAAGGAAGTAATTTAAGAACAATTTCTAGAATTAATGAAAGACTGAACTGTTTTGGAACTCAGATTGAAAAGAGCAATTTAAGCCAGGCGTGGTGGCTCATGCCTGTAATCCCAACACTTTGGGATGCTGAGGTGGGTGGATTGCCTAAGGTCAAGAGTTAGAGACCAGCCAGGCCAACATAGTAAAACCCATCTCTACTAAAAATACAAAAAAAATTTGTATGGCATGGTGGCAGATGCCTGTAATCCCAGCTACTAGGGAGGCTGAGGCAGGAGAATTGCTTAAACCTGGGAGGCGGAGTTTGCAGTGAGCCAAGATTGTGCCATTGTACTCCAGCCTGAGCAGCAAGAGTGAAACTTCGTCTCAAAAAAAAAAAAAAAAAGAGAAAGAAAAAAGGGCAATTTGGTGGTTGTTGGGATAATTTTTTTAAATCTACACTTGGCGCATGAAAATGCAATTTTGATACATTTAAATATATATAAACAAAATAACCATAAAGCATCCAGAGAGTAGATGTCTTAGAAAGAATGAGAACTAGATTGTCATCAGACTTCTGTTTAGCTACACTAGATGTAGGAGGATGATGGAGCAATATTATCAAAATACTGAGAGAAAATAATGGAGATTTATATACCCAAGCAAGCCATTGTTTAAGTTTGAGTATGAAATGAATTTAGACGTAAGATACTAATTTGTGTACAAATTACTAGATGTTAGAATCCAGGAAGGAAATAATAAGATACAAGAAGCAGTGGTAATTCAGAAGTAAACCATCCTCAACTTTTCTTGATGGAAAGAGACTTAACTCTAGAGCGCTATCTCTTCCCCTATTCTTTCAATGGAATTGTTTTTTCACCATTTTTCCATTCCTTGGAGCTAGCACAGGACAGATTAAAAACCCCAAATAGCTCATACCTGAAGTTTTGAACCTGAATGACTTGGAGTATAATGGTTGTGCCTTTAATAGAAATAGAGACATGAAAAGGAAAAGCTGACTAAGGAAAAAATGTGGAAATATAATAAGGTTTCGAGTTACTAGAATGTAAAAAGGCAAATATTTAATCATAGCTTTATCATTACTTGTAATTTATATTCTGAGTACTTTGGAAAGTATGTCAACTTCTTGGCCAATAGGACATTGAAAATTAGCTTTAGACCTCCAAAGTTCAGGGCTTTATCCCCACTACCTGGAACTGTGCCTTTTATATATGTGTTCATTAAGTATTTGTTAAATAAAGGAGACAGTTTGCATTAAAACAAGAAGAAATTGAATGCAGATTCCTGACAATATTGTTGAATAGATTGAATGCTTGCTAAAATGGAGATTAATGGGCCATGCTTAGTGTATACTGAATCAAAATTCCAGGTGTATGTCTCAGAAATCTGTAATTTTAATAAGTACCTCTAGTGATTTTTTTTTTTTTTTTTTTTTTTTGAGAGGGAGTCTCGCGCTGTTGCCCGGGCTGGAGTGTAGTGGCCGGATCTCAGCTCACTGCAAGCTCCGCCTCCCGGGTTTACGCCATTCTCCTGCCTCAGCCTCCCGAGTAGCTGGGACTACAGGCGCCCGCCACCTCGCCCGGCTATTTTTTTTTTTTTTGTATTTTTTAGTAGAGACGGGGTTTCACTGCGTTAGCCAGGATGGCCTCGATCTCCTGACCTCGTGATCCGCCCGTCTCGGCCTCCCAAAGTGCTGGGATTACAGGCATGAGCCACCGCGCCCGGCCAACCTCTAGTGATTTTTTAAGCATGTTCAAGTTGAAGTAGTCCTTAGAGGACAGGGAAGAGAAGAGAAGAGATAACGGATTAAAACTGGAGAAAGCATGTCTTTAGGGGGCAGTACTTTCAACATTTTAATGTCATTCATTTTTAAAAGATGTTTGCCCATGTACTTGGGGTTCAAGAAGGGACAGACACTGATGGGAGCTTAAGTAACCAGCTCCAGGGCTCAGTCCTCACTGGCTACCCCAAGATGAGAGTATCAACATTTTGAGACACCAGACACCTATCTGTAACACTCAGAAGCTCTGTAAAGGGCAAGAAGGAAAAGGAACGATTAAGAAGTTTATCAGTCAGAGTTCAAAGTTAGAGATACATCAAAGTTAGAGATACATGCTGCTGAAATTCAAGGAGGAAGAGGAATGACCTTTGGGTTTCAGTAGTTGGAAGGTCAAGGGAATCCTTGCAGTTTTAATGCACAGGTGAAGGGAAGGAA